TGACTAGCTGCCTTCCCTCTAGTCTTACACTGCTAAATTAGGGACGGCTAGCGCAGATAGCCCTCGTGTAGCTTTGCGCGAAATTCCAAAACAAACAAACAATCATTTAATAGTGTGGTTTAAGGTGTCTGACATTAGGTATCGTTGAATAAACGTTTCATTTATTGGTAAACGCTAGGGAAGTATAGTAATAGGTAACAGATAATAAAAAAAACTAAGTCTCAAGGTAAAAGGCACAACAAATAAGTTCTTTTTTACCTTAAAGTTTTGCATGATAATTGGCAAGTAGGTTGCATTGCAGTTCGCTGGTTGCCAACTGGACGACTCGGATCTAGTATATACTTAATGTAACAAGAGAAGTGAGTGTCCTGAGCGTAGTAAGAAAAAGCTAAATATTTAGGCTAGCATTATTAAAAATTTTAAAAAGTGTTTGAGTATATTGTTTGATAGAATTTCAGGTCTGGCTTAGATTAGTAACGCAAAGCCAATGTGCTTATGGGAAGGTTTGAAAGTTCACTAGCATATTTATGTATATTTTTATATTTAAATACTGAGGTATTAAAGTAAAATCGTGTTCCTGACAAAACTGGTTTCACGATTTATACTTGTTGACGAAATGAAACAGGAACAGGTTAGTTAACACTTGTAGGGGCTTTAAACGTCACTCGTACATTGAGTGCGGGTAGAAAAAAAATCTGTTGTGACTTTTGTTTATCTTGGATATGGCTGTGATAATTTGATTCAGTGTTTGGTGCATGAACAGTTTTTGCATCTCTATCCGTGAAACCAAAAATACCTATGGAGGCCAGACCGGAAGTTGGGAATACTTCCTTCCACTGTACTAATATGAAAGGATACATGCTTCGTTGAAAGCTCGTTGTGTTAGAAAAACCAAAGCTATTATACACAGCCATTCTGCATAAGCAAATGAGTAGGTGTGTCTAAATATATGTGTTTGTGTGTGTGTAATAGAGTTAGAAAGTTGTTTGAAGGGTCTCGGTCGTTTTTAACTTGCGTTTCTTATTAAATATTTAACTGGTCAATACCAAAATATGTTGCTAGTCATAAATAATTTCTATGTTAGACACCTATTAGTCCTGATAACTTTTTCTCATTGAAACATTTTAAATAGAACTATAAAGCACAGGCATAATTGTTATTGTTTGTCATTAAAGCACACAGCTGTACAAAGGGCTATCTGTGCTCTGCCCACCATGGTATCAAAACCCGGTTTATAGCTGCATAACTAACCATAAGTCTGCAGACATGCCGCTGGGGGCGCATAATTATAATGGTAGGTTTTTTATAGGGTGCACTTTGGTTTTTGTATTGGACGTTTTAGTTTTGGGGAGAATTACAACAAAATGAAATGGCTTAAACCACTAATATTTGTTGTCTCTAAGTTACTGAATGAATACTTACGTGTCTCGATCTTTAGTTACGTTCTGAACCGTTGCCCTGGTTGGTTTTATCCCGCACTGATTTCTTCCTAATCGTTGCTGGCTTTAGTCCCTCTAGCACTGCTAGGTTTTGATCGTTGTTCTTAGTCCACGTTCTTGCCACTGCCCATGGCTTAATCTTAAATTATGTTGTGAACAATAACGTGTTTAGCTGCGTGACATTCGAATATGAGGCAGTTTTAATTTTTCAGTTTTATGCTATAGAGTGCCTTTGAATTACATTTTAAACAGCTGTGATCTAAGTGTTCCCGTAACTACTGAGTGATTGCTAATTCCTATAACAGTATAAGTATGAAGCCCCTTCAGCCTTTACACCGTGTTAAAGATTCTGTGTTTTTAACTGACTGTCCTAGAACTTTTCTGCTTAATAATTTGTTTCCGTCTCTGTATTCAATCAAGTCGCACAAAACAACTACTGGATCCTCATTTAGATTGTTTAATTACCTTCAGTTTTGTGCCTTTTCTTCTTTCCCCAAGTACTGACCTGTGTACTTTGGATTCAGCATAAAGTTTGCTAGTTGGATGACTTTTGGCAAGGGTAATTGCTACAAAGTATATTTTCATAGTGTTGCTTTTTTTTTCTTTGTTTAAGATGGAGACCACCTTATACAGCATTCCTTTATCACTTTGATATGATATTTGTGATTTCATGCAATATTCATTACTGTATACCCAGCACTCCACTAATTTGCTCAGTTGTAGTAACTTTATACTTTGAAAATCCAAAAAGATCATAAAGATATTATGTACATAGTTCCTGATTGAACTGGTATTTTTGGTGTAACTTTGGTTATAAAATGTGCCCTTGCTGAACACTGAAATTGACTTGTTTTTATATAAGTAGTGGAACCCACCCAGTAACTTGGACATTATTGGATATTTTAATTTTCTTAAAATCCTGACAATTATATTGTGCTGTATGAAGAGTGTTCATGTGAGACAAGTAATTGATCAATGTAGAAATTCATATACCAACTATACATTTCTGTATTTGAAAGAATTGTCATATCTTTCCAGATAATTCCAAACCAATAAACTTTTTTTTTCTGCAATATTCTAAACAAGCTTTGAGTGGTTGGACTACTCATTATATACACCTTTCTTGAATATTCTCGATTCTGTGTAACCAATCTTAGTTCATAAAATTAACTCACTCTCTTTCTTGTGTTTGAAGCTTTCAGTGGCAAAATTACTACAATTTCATAATAATTTCATTTATGCATGCTAGGTCTGTAGCAAGCTCTAGAAATATCCAATCTAAAAGAAAAGTATTAGACTAAAACTGTAGCATGAAAAGAAAAATATAGGCTACATTTACATACGTATAAAACTGCATATCATTCATAGTCATATATGTCTGAATAAGTAAATAGAACATTTGCCTATGTTATCAGTCATGATGGGCTGATCATTTCTTCCTTTATAGGTTTCATTTGCAAAGTGCTCTTTTTGAAAGTGTGGGTAAAGCTGGCTTTACTTCATAGCCAGGATATTAATTTATAATTGTTTAGGTTTTTAGGAAGTGAGTAATTTCAAACTTCCCCCATACTTTCATTACATAAAGGTCATCATCCTTGAACTTAGGTTGCTAATAACACCAACTTTTAGCAATAATAAATGGATTGAATAGTTATCAAATTTGATTTAAAGCCATTGAATACTTTTTGGAATAATGCATTGCCAAATCATAAGCAAAACAGTACTTAAT